AGAGAGAGAGAGAGAGAGAGAGAGACGCAATCAGCAGAACAACAGCATAGAAAACAGCAAAGCAAAGACGACTGCAAGTATGCCACTAACAAGGTACTGAGAGAAAAAAAAACCAATGAGATACTGCTTCTCCATCCCTAAAAGGGATACATGTATTGTCAATCATGAACACACAAAATGCATGAAATACAGGGCAAAAAAAACCCCTAAAAAGCAAAGCAACAATGATTCCTTAAGAAAACACATTAGTCAAAAAGTAGACCTACAACTGCAGACCAAAACTGGACAGCAGCTCACAGAATACTCCATACAATCATGCTCAGCTTGTACGGCAGTTGTAAATTCCGCACAATACTCAAATGAGTCAATAAACTCATTCAGTTCAAGGGGGGAAAACAAGACAGAGAGACAGAAACAAAAGAGAGAAAGAAAAGAAGTAGTAGGACCCACTACCACAAGCAGCGCCTAAATGCCAACAACTCAGTCATGCTCAGCTCACATCCCGCCCATTTTTCACAAATGTATCGATCAACAAAACTGGAATTTCAATTGGCTGTATAAAATTTTCCAAAAATAATCGCACGACTCTCGGGTCTTAACTGGGCATGCGCCCCTTTCCATTGCCTTGGAATACGTAATAAAAAAGTTATTTTGGGCAAAAACTACGAGTCGCGATACTTGAGCTGCTACCCCGCAACATCAAGGTACAGTAAAGGCTATTGGCACTGAAGGTGAATGGCGTCGAAGTATAACAAACACAGACATAGATAACATACTAGATCTAGATCTAGATCTAGATCTAGATCTAGACTCTAGTCTAGATCTAGATCTAAATCTAGTACCCTTTATAAATAAACACGAGAGATTTTCAAGTGGTAAATTGAACATGATGGAATCAAGAGAGCCGTTGTTATCTCATCATCTCATCATAAAGTCCCAGATCTGAAAGTGACATTGGCAATCGTGGCTCGCAACGCATCACTCTGTTCGGGTGCTCTAAAAAACATATTGAAGATTCTAGAGAGAGTGCCAAGGCATATTGGGCGACTAGGAGAGTGGGAAAGAGGGAGGGAGAGCTTCGTAAGCTCTCACAGCGAGGATGAGTGAGCAACTATTCCATCAGGCATCTAGATCTAGATCCAGAGGCCACGATGCCACACCGTTCGAGATAACAATCCGAGAGATGGAAATCATAACGAAATACCACGCCACTGGGCCACTGAAACCCATCGTGCCAACAAAAAAACTCACCTTTATGGTATGATCCTCGAGTAGGTACCGTGAGATAAGTAACCAGTGAGAAGTAGGAGAGAATCGACCACCGAATGTCCAGCAAAATGTCCGCTCCGATGTAAGCCCCGAGAACAGCAGAACGAGGAGAACCGGCGCCTGCTCACTAGATCTAGTGCTCACTCACACGATCACACACACACGAAGAGACAGAAACTCCAGCACGAGAGAAAACGTCGATGGCTAGCGGAACAAGCCAAGCAAACACACACGCGCGCGCACAAGAGCGGACACACAATGTGAGCAGAGAGGGTAGGCGAGTGGGGGAGGAGGAGGACGTGGAGGGCGGTGGTGAAGGTGGTAGTGGTGGTTGGTGATGGTGGTGGTGGTGGTGACGGCAGCAGCA